AGATTGAATCTTCTGTCAGCAAGTAGTATAACTTGATATACAAACAAACCAAAATAATGATTCTAATAGTGCTATTATCTTATAAGTTTGACTTCCTTCCAAATGTATTTAGAATGCAATAAAACTAAAATCATTGAACGTTCTTAACAACAATCCGTTTGTTCCCTAGTATTACCAGTAAGTAGTTTAAATCAAGCGACAATATGTTAGTAGAAATGCCACATTTTTTACAATCTTTGATATTCTTTTACGTAAATATCGCATACTGAATATTATGAATAGAGAAATTAGGATTCTGCTACCAAGTAGTATAAATCAATAAATAAAGGGAGAAAAATAATGGTCCCATTCTTACGACGACTTTCCAATTTAAACTCCCTTTTAGAATCACATATAATGCAATAAAGGTGCACACACCATTGACCATTTCAAACAACAACGACTTTGCAACGTATAATAACGAATTAAAGTGGAAGGAGACTTCATACAAATGCCTTCCCTTTGTGTTCTCGCAAGAATTGGCGAAGGAACATTCGACACAATAATGAGGAGAATCGAGGATAATCGTAAACGACATACAAAGTAGAAATTCTCTGTTAACAGGCAAGTGGCGCAGGTCAACGATTACGGAGACATTCGAGCAATTTCCCGCTGTAGAACGCGCGCGTCGCATTAAATGCTTGTCGAGACGTTGAGTAGAAAATTTACGATTGGATTGAAGAGCGCGAGACGCTTCTCAAACAAGGGATTCGTCATTGTACACGATATTAAATTCAATTTTAATAACTTCGTTCGCCTCGACCACCGGGAAATTCTAATATAAATTCTTATTAACGAGAGCGAGCCAGTGCTTCATGATATCGCAGCAGCGGTGGGCGTCAGGATGATGAAAAGTGGCCAACCAGGATTATCGACTAATGACTCCTCCCCGGCTGATATAAACGAGCCGAAGCTCGCGCGGCCGAGAGAGGATCTGTTCTTGGGACGCATAGATCAACGGGCTGGACATGAATAATATCGCTTGGAACTCTTGAAGAAGCTTTAATTAGGACGACGCCACGTCGTCTTCGTAATAAAGCGTGTTTTAAACAATCGGAACTTTTTAATCGCCGTCCTCGCGAACTACCTAGCAAACTCTAATCAATTCCATGGCTCGTTTAAAAATTCTTTATCGAACCTGCAGTTTGACGAGGAGTCCCTAACCGATCCTTGAGAGGTCGTGGACGTCATATCATGAAATTGTTTAAATTGAAGGAATGGTTCGAAATTGCTGAACAAATTTCTGTGCACTCTTCAAAGTTAACTCGATCGACGAAAAAAGTTCTCACATGATTGTTCATTGTGTTGATGAGAAAAAAATTGTTCAAACATCGCTTGACATTCATAACGCTTTTCAGAAGACTCAACTTCGTCGCCATATTTAAAATCGAAAGAGCCTTCCAAAAATGTTCAAAAAATTATCGTGCTCTCTTCGAAGACAGCCCAATCAATTAAAAAAGTCCTGATACGGGTGTTCATTGTATACATCAAAACAAAAAAATATTTCAGTTAGAGCTAGAGTTTTTTAAATGACGCAACTTCGCCGCCAAATTTAAAATCGGAGAAACGTTCCAAAAATGTTTAAAAACTTATCGTGCTCTCTTCGAAGATTGCCGAATCAATTAAAAAAATTCTGATACAATTGTTCATTGTATACATTAAGATAACAAATATTTCAGTGGAGCTGAATTTTCGTGACGTTTCTTTAGCAATGCAAATTCGCCGCCATATTTGAAATCGAAGGAGTCTTCAAAAATATTTAAAAAATTATCGTGCACTCTTCGAAGATAGTCTAATCAATCAAAAAAGTCCTGACATGATTGTTCATTGTATACACCAAAATAATAAATATCTTCAGTAGAACTAAATATTTGTGACGCTTTTTAAACGACGCATCGAAATCGAAAGAGCGTTCCAAAAATATTAAAAAAATTATCGTGCTCTCTTCCAAGATAGCCTAATCAATCAAAAAAATGCTGACATGATTGCTCATTGTGTTCATTAAAGGAAAAGTACTTAAACACCATTCGATGTTCGCAATCGAAGGACAGGGAACTACAGTGCTTGATCCACCGGAAGTAGAACCGCAAATAACCGTCGTATCGACCAACAATGGTTCACCTACCTTGACGTTCCCGTACTTCCAGGTAAACAGTACGACAGCCGGCAAACAGGCGATAACGCAGCATTCCAGGATCAAGATTGCCGTCCTCATCAACCAATTCAAGGATACCACACACGGTGACTCGTCCTCGCAGGACTCGCAGCCCTCCGCGCATGGAAGACACTCAAAAACATTCTCCTGATCGTACTGGCTCTCCTCGCCCTGCATCATACAAGAAACCGAACACTGCATCCACTAACCACATCCAAAAATTGTAAATTTTACAACTATAATCACGATTATAAATTCAATTACAATTATAATTACAATTACAGTTACGATTATAATTACGATTATAATTACGATTATAATTACGTTTATAATTACAATTATAATTACGATTTTATACTTTAGAATTGATACACTACTTTTCATTTATTGGGAGAAGAAATACATTTATTGTAACCAAGGTAACCCACTTAACCGATCATTAAAAATATTTGATTGGTCGTTTTACGTGAACGACAAAACTGAATTTATTCCCGCTATTTTTTTGTTGCGGTATGTATTTATATAGAAGTATTTTCTGCGGAAATGTCTTCGTAATTTCAACAATGTTAAAAGGAAAAAGGAAACTCGGTCATTTTGACCGGTATGGTTGATTTAATGTTGCTAAAATAGTAGAGAAATCAAAAGACTTTAAAAATGTCATTATGCTATTTTCAATCTAATAAAATAATTAAAAAGCGAATGAACTTTTTATATAATTTTCATTTGATGCAGACAATCTTTATTTCACCTAAAAATCCGCGAAATTTTTAATCAATAACTGGACAAAATAAAAGAATAAGAAAAGTCTTCGTATCTCTTCTGAAATATTTTTATAAGCTTTGCAGAAAATTTCGCGAACTCGGTATCAACAAATTGTAACAATTTTTGTAGCATTTTAAGAACTTCTGGCTGTGTTACATATTTCATTTCAACAAATAGTTAAGCAATTGAATCGAAATAGGAAAATTGAAAATATGTCTTATTCGATAAATCTAATTATAGCCAAAAGCAAACAATTGGCACAGTTACCCGTTACCCGTATACTTCCCATTTCATGTAAACCATAGAAAAGAAATTCAGAGAGCCGAGATAGTAAACCACTGGTCACCAATCAAACCTAAATGGAATCTATCAGAAGCGTTTATTACACCTACCGCGCGCAGTTCTAGGATCTGCAAGAGGCACCGTCTCAGATACCCGTGGTTTTGAAGGGCTGATCCTAAGCTCCTTACTTTTCATTGTTCGGGAACCGGGGCCCGGGCATAATCGCGTAAGCTCGTACCAGTTTATCAGGTTTCGATGTTGTTAATCCCGTTCGGCGCTCGTAATTTAAGCTGTCCGACGGTCGGTTCATTAACGTCCACCTCTGAAGCACCATTAAAAGGAATATTGGCGCGGAAACAAATTCCCTTCCCACGGTGTTCTTGTCCGGCCATAACGGACTAACGATGCAGGACAACTTATCCCGGCGACGGGTATTATAGTTCTCCGGGGAAATCCCGGCGACTACAAATCACGGCGTCGTAAATCGTATTCACGATCGGACTTAAGTTCCAGCGGATTTATCGTCCGCACAAATCACGGTCGCGGGCGTTATGGTTTAGGATATTGGAGGCGATGAACCACGCCCACCTCGTCGGCACGATCGTCAGCTATTCGGACGCGTCGCCCTTTTCATGGGGAACGAACATTTCCCGTGGGAAAACGAAAGTCGCTGTCCGGCCGATCGGGATCGCGGAATCTCGCCGAGTGGGGATTGGTCCCCTGTGCGGGCTATTTGTCGCTTTGGGTCGATCGCAGGTGCCGTAAATCGACCGATTTCTTGGATCATTGTACCGTCCCCGATGTCCGAGCGGTTCCACGTCACGTATCAAGGGGCGACAGAGAATACGCACGGCACGATCGCCCGAATTCTAATCAGAAAGCAATCAGCGTGAACCGTTTCGCTGCCGCCGAGTGTCTGCCCCCCAATCAGAAATGACATGCTGTCCTGCCGAAGACGCGGCTACATCGAAATAGCAATATCGATGACGCTCTGTTGCATTTACATTGCCGATCCACTGCCGATGGAAATTGCATGCTCGACGGTGATGCGTTCGCAGGATTGCTTGGCCGACAGGAGTAAGAGCGTCCCGATGCTTTCCTATCGATCACTGTTCTTTCGAATTATCGGCACCCTGGGCTTTCGTAGACGCGACGTGAAACGGGATTGCGCGGTTTCGAAGACGATAGTTCTGTTTGAGAGATCGGTTCAGTCGCGACGGGATGTTCCCCGCTTTGTTTTGGCTCGGAGCCAATCGATTTTTACCAGGGTGGCTGTTAAATTGCTTCGTTTGATTAGTTTGATTAGTGGCCGAGATGCGCTGCTTCTGTTTGAGCAGCCAGTGACCTGTATTACTTCTGGTCGACCAAGCGTTGCCGTATATTACTTGCGTTTGACCAAGCATTGATCAATGCCACTTCCGTCTGACCAAATATTTATTTTTACTACCAATGTCCGACTCGACATTGTCCAGTTCTACTTTCACCTGGCTTGACTACTACTTATATCTGACGAAACATTGGTCTCTACTACTCGTGCCCGACCAAACATTGTTCTATACTGCTTCAGACAAAGTCACCTGTTTGGTCAGATGAAAGTAGTAGAGATCAATGTTGTCTGATATCTATGTAGACATTGCTCCATACCACTTTTGTTTGACTAGAGATATTGGCCTGCTCTGCATCTGCTTAGATTGTCATTGACCTATACTACATATGTTCTATCAAGCATTGATATCTACTACTTGTATCTGACTGATCACTGATTTATACTACCTCTGTCCGATCAAACATTTATTCATACACTGATCTCTGGCCAAATTGTACTAGGCCTTGGCACTTATTGGCATTCTTATAGAACTATATATTGACCTATACTACTTGTGCCTGATAATACAATGCCCTATACTATTTTTGACTAATAATAATAACTATGATCATCACTATACTTGTGACTGATAAGACCCTGATCTCCACTACTTATGACTGATGAAATTCTGATCTCCACTGCTTGTACCTGATCAGACATTGATCTGTACCACTTAAACCTGATCATATACCAATCTACACTGCTTATTTGGTATGGCAATAGATTATTTGTTTAATAAAAGTTTTGTCATGTAATCCAGATTATTGTCTCTGCTCAGGACTATGAAGTTCTCCGTAATAAATTATATCTTGTTAACGCATCTGCCAGACAATAATATCTAAAATGTACATTTCAATATAAATGATTTACCTAATGCAAACAACCTGTCTCGTTCGGACGCATCAGAATACTGAAATTAATAATCATAAATTATGTTTTGTTAATTTCAATTAAAATATTCTCTTTCACGAACAAATATTTGTTTAGTAAGCAGATAGTCTCTTCGGGGGAGTTTTTGCATTAAAATCAGCGTCGACTAACTCGTAAATATTAATATTGTCCTGTGCCCGATCATGGCAGACAGTTTTCACTTCATCCATTATTTATAACCGATAATTCCAGTTTATATCAATTCAACACAAATTATTCAGAAAAATGCATCCATAATAAAATGTACGACAAGTGGGAACGTCCATAACTGGTCGGAAAATTGCCTGAAGCAGCCAAAAAAGTTCCATCGAGAAATGTAAATTTCAACAGGAATTTTGCATTGGAATGTTTGCAGACGCTTCAAAAACGCATTTTTCATACTAATTGCAACAGCCCTCGGTGCGTGTGCGGTGCACGGAGAGAGAAAAAGACAAGTAGAGGGTGTTGATGGAAAAACTTCGAAATGAATTCTCTCGAACAGATACAATTTTCTGGGCTCCGGATCGGTTAAAGGTGAGACAAAATAGCGACGGGCGAATGAAAAATCGCTGGCGATCTAACGGGTTCCGGAGTCGCTATGCTCGACCTTCGAGCTTCCGGTGCACGGCGCCAACTGTATCCAGAAAGACAGAACATTTGTTGCTCTGGCGTCTCGCCAGGAAACTGGGTTGTTCGGTCGAGGAGAAAAATTTGTTGTTATACGCTGCAAACTTTTCCACGGCTCGCGTTAATGGTCGTTTAATTAAAACCCTCGTGTGTCATTGCGATTCTATCTCCGACTCGTATTCGCAAAACCTTCGCGATTCTATCGTCCAAATAGCTTCGTCCTGTGCTGCTATTTTTTGGAACGGACAAATTGAAAAGTTTATTTGGCGCCAGTTATCAACGAGCATTCATTTTCCTTGTACAGAGTCCCAAATTTTGCACTGAATTTAAAGAAAAGTGATTTTTTTCCGTGGCTGGCCATAGGAGACTCTTTCTACTGTCCAAATCGTTTGCAATTTTCAAAAGATATATTTCAGGTAAACTCAGGACTAATTTATATCTGGAAATATTTCTGGTACATTTTGGATTGATTATAATGAAAGATGATTTATTTTTCACCAGTTACACTCGGAGATTAACTTCTCCAAGATTGTTGTACAAAGACACAAATTTTACACTAGGATGTATAATTGGGAACGTTAGATTATTTATAATTGTCGCCAGTTACGCTTTATGTTTTCTTATCTAAGCATGTGTTATCAATATTTAATTTAATCGAGCTGGTAGTAAATGACAATCCGTTCGAGAAACAAGTAGTACTTGTAGATCATTATTCGAACTAGCAGCACGTGTTAACGATTTTGTCAGACAAGTAGTACTCGTAAAGGGGTGGTTTAAACTGGTAGTAAATTTCAATGCGTTTATCAGAAAAGCAGTTTGAATCGTTGTTTTATCAAGCAAGTAATCTAGATCAATGTTTGGCCAAACAAGCAGAATAGTGAATGTTTGGTAAAATAGGTAGTATAGTAAATGTTAAGTCAAGCAAGCAGTTGATATCTAAACCAAAAAGTAGTGCAGCTCAATGTCTAAATATTGACGGGTAGTATAGGTCAGAGTCTAGACTGACAAGTAGTATAGGTCAATGTTTAGATTAGTAAGTGGTATAGTTCAGTGTTTGGATTAGTATCATAGTATTCGTGTTTCGTTTATTTTGTAGTATTAGTATGGACTAACAAGTAGTTTCGGCCAGTGTTTGGATGAAAAAGTAGCATAGATAAGTATTCATACGAGTAATTAGTACAAGTCTCGACTAACAAGTAGTATTAGTCTTGCCCAGCAAGTAGTA